TTTTAATGGTTGCTAATTTCGAGTCTTTGCTCTTGTTTTGGCAAAGACTATGGATCAGTCCTCTTCCGGTCGACACCAAGTAAGGACAAAACAAAATATCATAGCACTTGTTTGTTTGAGTTGGCTCAATGCCTCACATGAGAAACTAATGCCTTTTCTACTTTAGATTCACAGGAGTCTGATTCATATCGTGGCCTTTTGAGACGTAGCGGTAAGAGCAGAAAAAAAAACTCACTTTGAAGAGAATGTACATTTTTCTTTAATTATGTGTACTCCATGCGTTTTTAAAGACTTACAGGAAATTACAAAGCATTAACTTTTTGCAACGATGCATAGGACAAGATTAATTTGCCTCAGCAGCAAAACTTAAAGAAAAAACTACTGGAAAACGTAAATGTGAAAATCCTCCACTCGCATCCACTAAAAATGATGTCTATCTGTCCGTCTGTTGTTCATTTGTTTATGTTTTTATTTGGGTTAGTTGGCTGCATGACTTATTTACCAAACCGGAGGGACAAATAATAATAATTCTAATAATTCTTTCACATCCATTTTAGATTTACGCTGCAGGTCAGTTGCTTTAGGTGATTGGGATGGCTCCTCAGGACATTACGGTAAGAAAATTTTAGAAAACTCTAAACTATTTTTCTAACTTATTCCATGTGAAAATACATGAGAGAGTTTTTGTATTAAATCAAATGTACCACAACCACTTGCACCACTGTTTTTAGTACTTTTAACAATATGTAAAAGGGACTAGTGTCTTCTCACTTTGCATTTCAGAATATATAGCGGCTAAAACAGAGTGGGATCTTTGTTCTTCTCTGTACAATCTCTGTAGATGATCCACAATCTCTTCTCTTGAGCTCGCCCTATAGGTTGCCTTTAGGATTTACATCCTGAGATGGCCCAGGATTTTTGACTTTGACTGTTTGGTGAACAAATTCTGTGTTGATTTAAATATATGTTTTGTTTTTTTATCAACATTCTTCATTTATAACCTCTTCTAGTTTGCAGGAACAGGGAGAGACTTTGATTTAAAATGTCCTGCTGTTTCAAATAGTTCATGGCACCTCGCCAGATAATTTCTTGTGGGACAATAACAAAGTCTACTACACAACCAATCAGCATATAGATAGTTTTACCTTGAGGTTGTCAGGGAGGCTTGAAGACAGCAACATGTCACGCTTAGCTTCAGTCGTATGGGAGAAGATTTGTACATTTGTTTTTACTTTTCTTACCATTTTCCTCACTTTGTGTGGTTGTGTTGTCTCAAGCTGTTTGTCACTGTTCTAGTTTTTTCAAATTTTTTAATTTATTGCTGTGACTCCAGGAAAATTAGGAAGGCATTGTTTTTTTCTTTTTGTTTTTTTTTTCCTTCAATTTATTCAACAACTTTTCATTTTTATTGTAGAAGAGACTGGAGAAGGCTCAGCAGAGAGCGTCCCACTCAGATGTAAGTAATCTCTGGCTATGAGTTTGCTTTAGTTTTACACCGTTTGCTTTTGCAAATACAGCAACAAGGCAAATGCAATGTAAAATTGTAAACGTATAATAGTTTGTGTACTGATGTTATATCCATTCATAAAGTGTACATGCTTGTTTACAGAATCTATATACTTGGGTCAACTCAGAATAAATATTAAAGTCAGTCCTAAAATGCAAAAGGAAAACAACATATTTATTTTTTGACTGTTTTTGAAATATTTTAAAGTTTGGGATTTTCTCAATGTATCAAGGTTTAAAACAGTGTTTTATGAGTTGTTGTTCTATTTAACTTCACCAGTGAGCTATTAAAGCTACACATGACAATACAGTTGTAGGCTTTTATTATGAAAACCAAATGCATAGCTCAAGTGCATCAACAGCACAATAATCTTCAATCACTAAATGCTATATCCCCATCCTGATGTAAAAAAAAAAAAAAAAAAAAAAAAACTTTTCTTGTGTTATTATGAAGTATCCTGAACCATCCACCATGCCTATTTGGCGTCTTGTGTTAATTTACATTTCAGAGGTCGATTATGAAATGAACAACTCATCAGCAAATCTGCTGCATATTAAATCTTTTTAAATTTCACATCTTAAAAAGTAATTCAGTCAAAAAAAATTGTATCATTTGTGCTTGTTGTTTTGGAAGTAAACTTTTATTGTAAGTCAAACTGTTTATTATTAATTTGCAACAAAACTTGCATTTACTTTTCTTTGTCAGCAACTTCCAGCCACAAGAAGTCTGGCACAAATGTATTTTCTCAAATGAAGAAAAGGTTCAGTGTCTTCATGAAACCTCATGAGAAGTCTTCAGAAACTGATGCTCCAAAACGTTCAGTTAGTGGTAAGTGTTGATGTTACGACCCAGCTCAGCCAGGGGGAAAGAGAAGTAACATTAAAGAAACCTGGATGTTAAAGATTTAACAGTTAAAGGTTTATTGCTCGGTTTTGACAAAAATAAAAAGGTAAAAATTAACAATAATCAAAGTGTAGGGACTTACAACAAAAATGTACCAAATAAAA